GCTACTGATACATGCTCAAAAGAAAGAATCTAATGTTTACATGAAAAACAAGAGGGCCATGATGGCCCTGAGGTCGCTCACCTGTTTATAGGCCCCCGTAGCGGGGCCAGTTTAAACCCCAGGGCTTTCATTTGAACAAACTTAGAAGACACCCATTAGAAAATGTTTCATGATGTTAAATTTTTACTACACACATATAATGAAAAACAATGATCCCCCCCCCCTTTGGCAGGGCCAATTTTAACCCAAGGGCTTTTACTCGAACAAACTTGGTAGACACCCACAAAAAGATGTTTCCTGCTTAACAATCTAACCCTTAGCTCATTGGGTTTTTTAAAAGTAGATTTTTTAAGTTTTTACTATACACATATAGTTAAAAACAATGACACCTCTGGGGCGGGGCCAGTTTTAACCCCAGGGCTTTTATTTGAACACACTTTGTAGACACTTACTAGAAGATGTTTCATGCTTAATATCTAAACTCTAGCTATTTGGGTTTTTTCAAAGAAGATTTTTAAGTTTTTGCCATACACATATAAAGAAAATCAATGACCCCCGGGGTGGGGCCAATTTTGACCCTGAGGGTTTTATTTGAACAAACTTTGTAGACACTCACTAGAAGATGTTTCATGCTTACTATCTAAACTCTAGCTATTTGGGTTTTTTCAAAGAAGATTTTTTAAGTTTTTGCTATACACATATAAGGAAAATCAATGACCCCTGGGGCGGGGCCAATTTTGACCCCAGGGCTTTTATTTGAACAAACTTTGTAGACACCCATTAGAACATGTTTCATGCTAAATATCTTAGCTCTAGCTCTATGTGTTCTTTAAAAGAAGATTTTTTAAGTTTTTACTATATGCATATAGGGAAAATCAATGACCCCCTGGGGCGGGGCCAATTTTGACCCCAGGGCTTTTATTTGAACAAACTTGGTAGACACTCACTAGAAGATGTTACATGCCAAATATCTAAGCTCTAGCTCTTTGGGTTTTTTAAAAGAAGATATTTAAAGTTTTTTCTTTTGGTTGCCATGGCAACCAGAGTTCTGCATGGAATTAAATTCTTTGAACAATTTTTAAAGGTGACCACCAAAGGAACATTCCTGTGAAGTTTGGATGAAATTGGCTTAGTGGTTTATGAGGAGATGTTATTTAAAGTAAAAGTTTACGGACGGACGACGGACGAAAAGCGACCACAAAAGCTCACCCTGTCACTTTGTGACAGTTAAGCTAACAAAACATTTTACAAACATTAAAGAATTAAACATTCTAAAATCAAAGCCCTTTTAAAATTTATATCACATGTTATAACCATGTTAGTCACAAACCACTAGCAAAGAAATAAAAATAAAACAACAACAAAAGCAAATAGGAATTAAGACCAGAATTTAAAAGCACAAAAGGAGGTCCTGAGTTACAAATGAACACACAATATTTTGTTAAAACCATAGACCAAAACAACAACAACAACAAAAAAAAAGAAAAAAAAGTTACTTTAATTTTTTTTCAAATTAAATTTTTCAGGAAAGAACATGAATTATCTAATTAAGATAACAAAACTCACATATAATAATTTATTAACTTTACAGAAATTTAGAAGGGAATAATATTTGTAACTTTTAATTTCATTGGATAATAAAGATGTTTAGAATCTGATGATATCTAAAGATCTGTAATTTAACCTTGTATTCTAATTAAAGAAAATAATTGTGCAAACTCATAAATGCATTATGGGTTTGTTATTAAAAAGTTAATATGGTTATTTTATATGCCTGTTGGTTATATTAACCTCATTAATGGCTTGGGTTATATAAACTTACAAAGTGATTCCATATATTAAGTTTAAATGAGCTAAAATAAATAATTTTTAAATCCCTATTTTTCTTTCTTTTTTTTTTTTTGATATATGATATATGTTCCATTGGTTAGCTTTATTTAGGGTAATATTATAGTCGCTTTCCAAAGTATTATTTAGAAACTAAAATATTTTCATCTAAACATTGACCTACTAGTGATAGAGGGACCATTTACAAAAAAAGCAGAAAATAGTTTTCAGTAAAAGCTTAAAATATTTATTACCTCAGAGTGCGAGTAGTGTTAAGAATGTATATATTTGAGATTTAACAAAAATGCATGACTAAGGTCACACTTAAATGTCAAGTGGAAAAAAGGTCTTTATTTCATGTCCGCTCCCTTTCATGTCAGCTCCATTACATTTAAACCACTGCAATGTTTTTAAATAAATAATAATAAAATGCATGAAAAGTGTGATTTGTGTTTAAAGTTCTCTTTTAATCTACTAAGTACATGTAGTAGTACAAAAATACTTTTGTTTTTCTAACATTTGATCATGAGAGGTGGGCTGCACAGGGTGAATGTTATCAACTATGCAAATATAAATACACATTTGTATCAGAGCACCTAATTATAGATAGAGCTATTAATAGACTTGGGAATTTGGTAAACTGATGTGCAAGCTATTTCTTATAAGAAAAAAAACAAGATCGAAAAAAAAATTACTCAAATTGCTTTTTTTTTGTAATTTATGGTTTCCATACAAATGAATCATTTCTCAATGGCTTGGAAGAAAATAATAATTATTGTTTATTTATTGTACATTATTTATAAACATAGCGCTTGAAACCAACTAAGTAAATACTTATTACATGTATACCATCATAGCCATATAAAACCAGTTAAAACTATTTGTAACTATTACTTTAACAGCAAGTAAATGTTCACTAACAACTGAAACACTTTTTCTACTTCAACAACCTTATATATTATGTAAATTAATATTTATCTTGGCCACCTTTACCCTTTAGGAACCGAAAGTGATTAGCCTGTCACGGACCAGTATAGAGTCAAGCCTGACAACACTTGTGCACTCCGACCAGGCCCTACATTGTTAGCTGACTTATTTCAAACTTTTCATCTTGATATGAGCCACGTCACAACAAAACCAACATAGTGCGTTTGCGATCAGCATGGATCCAGACCAGCCTGCGCATCCGCGCATTCTGATCAGGATCCATGCTGTTTGCTTACAAACCCTATTACAAATAGAGAAACTGATAGCGAACAGCATGGATCGTGATCAGACTGAGCGGATGCGCAGGCTGGTCTGGATCCATGCTGGTCGCAAACCCAATATGTTGGTTTTGTCATGACACGGCTCATATCTCTAAAATGACAATTTCAAAAATGAGAGCTGGACAAGTTCATTTTAGAAAATTCAGTGGGAAAAGTTCTTAGACAATGTATTTTTTTCTATAGCAATAAAAACAATAAATAAATAACAAAAATAAGGTAGCATACATAAATATAATTCAGTTCAGAGGTGCAAAAAGAAATAAATGGATCAGAAATCAAAATTTAATCTTTACTCTGCTGGAACTGAAGGCTATAAGCTTTTGCTTCCAGTACAAAGCCCGGCAAACCTGCACATGTGTACAATCACATCCATACAGTCTTACCAGGTTCAATACTGTTACTAGAACAATTTTTATACATTGTATTTCAGAACCATGCACTTAATTTGTTGGCACAGACTAATTTTGATTTCTCATCCATTTAATTTAAAAGTTACTATGTTTTTTTTACACAAAAAAAACAAGAACAATACAGTATTTAAACTATAACTGTGTAAATGTTAATTAATTCTGCATATCCCATAACATCAATATTTCTAATACATTTCAATGACAAAAGATTCCTTACACATTTACATTATGTTAAAATAAGAAAAAGTTGCATAATGTGGAGAAACATCTCCAGTCCTTTTTATCAAGGTCAATTTGCCCTTGAAATTCGACCCTGTTTCCTTCTCCAAGAAGTATACATGTATAATTTCCCCTATTTCTGAAAAGAAAAATCCATCTCAAAAGCACAATGCAAAAGAAAAAACATTTGGGTTATTTTGTTTGTTTTTTTAATAGATACATTTTATGATATCATTATGGACATTGAAGTTTTAAAAAATTGATGGAAACATTAACAATTTAACATAAAAAAAAAACAAACATGTTTTATCAGTTACTTAATTTTCCCCTCTGCAACACAACTTTCCCTTTTCTATTTCATGTATTTGCCCTGCCACCATTTCCTTAAAAGTGAAAAAAAAATACACTGAACACATTATCTAGTACACAATGATAAAGGCAAGTATATAACATACTAGCTGTTGATCTAAAATGGACTATACCAAATACATACATAAATAGATATAACACGTACACCTAAAGCACCATTGACCTTTTTGAAAACCTAGCTAAACACCGTTTTCCTGTACGTTACTGATTTAGCTCTGAGGAATCACACCAAATGAAGTCCGAACAAATGAAGTACACACTTACATGATATTTCTATTTTTCTTTCATTTTTTACCGTTTAAGGTGAAAAAAAATTGATGTGTTTGAAAATTATCAATATTCTTTTAATATCTGTTGCAAATTTTTCGAAAAATAAAATGTTTATAATGAAATTCAATAAAATCAAAACAGTCGTTGTGGCATCTTCTATGAACTACAAATATATTTTCTGTGTAAACTTGTGTATTTAATGTATTTTTGTGTATGGAGTTATTCATATAATGATATTAAATTTTAATTATTTTCTTACAAAGAAACAAAAAGAATTCCCCAAAGCTATGTACAGAAAGTACCAGAAAACCGCGTTAAGCTAGGTTTTCGAATTCGTGAATTAGCTAGAAACAATCATTTTTAAGCCGTATGCCTCCACTGATAAATGAAAATAATTCAAGGAAATCAAACTCGAGATAACTGAATTTACATTTTAAGTAAAGTAAAAAGATTTTAGTAATAATTTACATGTTATGTGCGATTAATGACAAATGATTTTGCAGCATTTTTATCAAAATATTTCTATCACATGACTAACACAGTAAGGGCTATTTTTGCATATTTTGACCTCTTTTTTGGTAATTTACATGGATTGTAAGCTCTGTTTGCAATATGTAAATTATCGTCTTTGTTCTCTTAACCGTATTTATTTTTCGAAAAAACATTCTTAAAAGTTTCATGAAAATTAGCATGAATCTGGAGGCAATTGCTGCTTTAATATTAAAATTTCAAATTTTGTGACTAAGAAATTATCAGCTTCTTTATGAAAAATACAACAAATGTAATAAGCCACAGCTTTTCATTCTTTTCGACATTTCTGGCAATATTTGTTTATTGAAAAGTTGCTAACACACAACAGTCAAGCACATTGTATTTAGCAACGATCTTTTTTCACCTTCAGAAGATTTAATAAACCAATGAGTGAATAAAGCTTAAATAAAACTTTAAAAATAATAATAATAATACCTTATGTCAATCTTCTGATAAAAAACATTAGTGAAAAATAAAACCAGTAAAAACTTTATATAAAACATGCATTACATGTACTTGGTAAAAAAAAAACACAAAAAAAATTAAGTTACAAACTGTAAAGAGTACAGACAGTGTTGAAATAAGTCTTGTTAATGTTTTACAAACTGAAACATTTAATTATGTTAGTGTTAACCCTTACTCTGTGGAAACAGAAGGTGGTTTTGTCTCCAGTACTGAGCCTGAAAATTGATGCAATCAGATCCATACAGTCTTACCATGCTCAATACTGTTTACAGACTAATTTTTGTATTTCAAAATTGAATACCTCAATATTTGAATGGAATGTTCCTAAATACAAAGCCGGGCAAATCCATTATCATAAATTCAGAAGATTAAGGGTTTAAAATAAACCTATACTTTCACCACAGTCATAGTGATTGCTGTGTAACAGTATCCCATGAATAATATTCTGTTGATAAGGACACTGTTATTACTTAAACTGTTATACAACTTAAACTGTTACATAACAGTTTAACTTAAACTGTTATATAACTTAAACTGTTATGTAACTTAAAATAAAATGCACATCTAACATAAAAATGGGCATTTAATATCTTAAATATCAAATTATTCAGTCACATATATGTTAAGACCATGAAGAATCCTGTCATCCATACTTGACTTCTTGCTATACAAATCGTTATGAAACATACTAATTTTAGACTATAGAATGAACCTGGAGACATCCTGCTTTGAAGGTTAAGACTTTAACAGGTACAAAAACACTATAAGAATCTGTATAGACTGTCACCATCACCCCTTTCTTATTACATAAATGTTAGAAATTATCGACACTGTAATGCATTACTTAATAAGCAATTACAAATGTTAAAACCATTGACAGATACTGTAATACAATAAGTTAAGACATTCTTCATTTACTGGTGTAATATCAGAGTAAATTTAAATTACATAAATTACATATATAAGCTTATATCAATAATAATTTAACTGGAAGCATATTATAATGTCAGGTATAATAAGCAAACAACATCAATGAATAATTGCACATTGTATTTGACACTACTTCATTTTTTTGATCAGCTTACACTAATACATTTTATTTTTATTTTTGGAATTGGATTTGTTTTAATTTTTTCTTTGTTTATTGAGCAGTGAAAGTATTTCAGTTTCACTATGACCTCCTATGATAGAGACTCAACCTGCTTCTCCAAGACCATGATGTTATTTTAAGTGCTACAGTAAGTACACGTAGTCCGGCACTTTTAGTTCGCTGATTTTTTTTTTAGAATATTTAAACATATAAAAACTGTCTATGTCAGCAGTTATATCACAATATCTACGTTTGATAATCTAGATTGTCAGTACCGTCATATGTGGAGAATTAACATCGTCACCAGACCTGAAATATAGAACAAAAATATCCAAATCAACATTTACCATGCTGGAACCAAAATTGAATATTGAGCCTTTCCCACTGCCCGGGGTATAGAGTCAGGCCAGCCTGCATGTCCGCGCAGTTTGACCAGGTTTTATACTGTTGGCTGATTAACTCTTAATTTACATCCTGATATCCCTTAAAATGACCAAAAAAAATCAACACAAGTTGCTCAGGAGCAGCACATTCCACTTTTCTCAGACCTGGAGAGTCAATTGCATATTATCTAAAGGAAAATTCATGTCTGATTTATTGACCAAATTTTAAGTTGTGCTGTAAAGGGTCAGAGTGACCTTGACCTTTTGACCCAAAATAGAAATGACCACAGGCGGGTAGACTAATCAAGGTGCACTAGTTTGCATTAGAATGCACTTTGATTTAAGGATAGCTTTTATGTTTTGCTATTACAGGTATCAGTGACCTTGACCGTTGAAATTAACATAGGTGTAACAGGTGAAGGCATACATTCACATATTTAATTTCAATGTAAAAGCATTGTTAGTATTAAACTTTATGACTATTTATGATACCTGTAAGGTAAACCAAAAAGGTTGTCCATTCAGACTCAGACAATGGGGTGTTAACAAAAGCTACATTATTTCTTTGAAAACAGAAGCTAAAAAAAAAAAGAGCTAGAAAATTAATTGAATGTGCTTTATCAATAGTAACTCCTAGACAGTCTAATGTACTCACCTTTTTAACAGAATAATGTTAAGAACAAACTCATTTAAATGTAAAACAGGAGCAGTGCATGCAGTTTTAACGCTTGTCTGTTAAAAACTCTGAAAAAGTGGCATATAACTCCAAAAATATTGCTTTCAGACTTATGCCCCTTGTCTATAATGTGCGCCTCGTCACAATAAGCAAGTGCTCCAAGTTTCATGTTGATATCTTTTAACTTTTGAATAATTGGTTACATTAAAGTTTTTAGATCAATAATAACAACGACAATGACAACAATGCTGCAGCTATCATATCGGCTTGAACTTTTGTTCCACACAGATGAGCCACCTAGTTTAAAGCACAAAAACTTACCTAAAACATAAGCTGCTATAAGCTTTTGGTTGACAGATAAGTGGATATAATCTGGTAATCTTGAGCCGGAATCCCCTTGCTGGGGTAACATTAGAGCTACAATACACACCAGACCAGCAAGAATCACAACTATACTAGGACCACCAACAGGACGCTTTCTTACATCTGAAATAAATCGAGGAAATATTTGTCCTAACATAACAGACAGGATTCTCTATAAATAGTATAAATAACATGCTTATGAACTAAAATTAATTGTTTACGTCTAAAAAGATGTATGAATAACTAGCAGCAAGAATGCTAATGTACAGAAAACATTATATAGCAAAAAATAACTAAAAACATTTTTTTTTTTTGCCAATTTTCGTAGAATTTTTAAAATCAGTCTGTAGTGCTTTTTTATAAAATCAGTAACAAATGATCACTCAAGATATAAATCATTATTGTGAAATTCCAAGCAATGAAGTTAGGTACAAATACTAGTAAAATTATTATACTGGTCTAAACTTTGACCTGATTATGGATTTAACAAATAACTTTTAAAATTTTTACATAGAAGTTGGACCATCTAAAACAAGGTTGACATTACAGTGTATGTACATAATAATTATAAAGAAATATACTTTGTTTGTACCTGTGTATTCATACAAAAAGATATATCATTCTTTATCAAGTTTTTTGGCAGGTAGCAACATACATGGCCCAGTAAAACATATAAACTTCAATATATGAATCAGTTGTATAAAAAATTCACAATTGTCTGATGAAGATCAAATAGCATTTTAATAAAACATGTATTGTCATGTACATGTCCAAATTTATGAAATATTTACCTAAATCTGTATGTGATTGACCCTGTATGTCAGGTCCTTGACTCGAATGGGCAAGAGCATGAAACTTGTCCTCCCTGTTCGGGGTGACCTCACGACCCTTTGTAGGTAACAAAACAGCATTGACATCCTTCTTCCCTGAAAAAAGGTGATCACAGTAACAGATGAATTTATCACATGACCTTTTATATTTATTCACTTTTAAAGGCTTAAAAACTAATCAATATTAAATACAATTAAATACACACATGAACAATGTTGATGTTTGGCATTTAACTGGAGCCAAATACAAACCATGTCCCAAATGACAAAAATGCTGCTTCAAATTCAGATATAATGTGAAGATGCACACCTCATCCTAACTACCACCCCATCCCTTACCCCCTTCTGTCCTCTCATGGGCAGCTTTAATTTTCAACTTTGCGGCATACACAGCCATTTATGAAAAACACCATTTAAAATTTGTGCATTATGAATTGATAAAAAGTGAGTTGAGTAGTCTATCTTAATAGGTATTTTATGTTTTTTCCAAATTAGTTTATTACTACAATGAGAACATTTTTTTCTGTTAAAATGGCATGGGTTGTTGCTAAAAAATAGAAAAATAACTGATCTACATGTAAAATTAATTGTATCATTAATTTTTTTTAACAAATGTATGGTGGCATATTTGTGCCACCAGATAACCATATAACTAACTAGTTAATTAAGAGGTTAAATAGTTACGTAACTAGTTAATTCTTTCAATAAATAAAAGATCATAACGGGAAATAAATGCATGTTAATGCCTACAACTGCCATCCTTTTATTATTTTACCAGCTTAATATTAAGAGGTTAACTAGTTATATAACTAGTTAACCACTTAATTAACTAGTTAGTTATCAGGTAATCTGGTGACAGAAAAATGCCACCATACAAAAGAAGTAATGTTACCTTGATATATTTTAACAAAATACAAGAAACATGGCAATGCCGTGAAACCAGGTTTTCAATTATCACCATTGTAGATAAATATGTTGTATTTGAAATACAAATACAAGCAACAAACAATGTAACTATGTGCAATGTAAAACATGAATAATGTAGGAGGAATTGCCACTGAAGAAGTGTTCACTATAATATTATGTATAAGGAAAAAACAAAGGGCCATAATTAGGTCAAAAACTATTCAATCACAAAACCCCGACAATATGTGCCAGGGTGCTTGATGACAAAGCTTCTGTGAAAGTTTGAACAAAATCCGTTGAGAAATGTAGGACGAGTTTCAGCACAGAAGAATTTGTTCACTAAAATTATATTGATAATTCTGTATAATGAAAAACAAGTTACAAAGTAGACATGAAATAATATATCATATCTTTTTTAAATTACCTCCAAAGATGATATGACCTTTGACTGCCAAATCAAGTTAAAATCATGTAAACAGGATTTTCAATGTTAATGTCACTGTGACCTTGACCTTGGAGCCAGCCATGCGGAACATGCGTTCTGCACGTCATCTTGATGTGGTAAACATTTGTCTGAAGTTTCATCAAATTCTTCAAAGGGTTGAAGAGTTACAGAGCGGACAGGATTTTCAATGTTAATGTCACTGTGACCTTGACCTTGGAGCCAGCCATGCGGAACATGCGTTCTGCACGTCATCTTGATGTGGTAAACATTTGTCTGAAGTTTCATCAAAATTCTTCAAAGGGTTGAAGAGTTACAGAGCGGACAGGATTTCAATGTTAATGTCACTGTGACCTTGACCTTGGAGCCAGCCATGTGGAACATGCGTTCTGCACGTCATCTTGATGTGGTAAACATTTGTCTGAAGTTTCATCAAAATTCTTCAAAGGTTGAAGAGTTACAGAGCGGACAGGATTTTCAATGTTAATGTCACTGTGACCTTGACCTTGGAGCCAGCCATGCGGAACATGCGTTCTGCACGTCATCTTGATGTGTAAACATTTGTCTGAAGTTTCATCAAAATTCTTCAAAGGGTTGAAGAGTTACAGAGCGGACACAATTTCGTTTGACGCCCGAAGTTAAAATCATGTAAACAGGATTTTCAATGTTAATGTCACTGTGACCTTGACCTTGGAGCCAGCCATGCGGAACATGCTTCTGCACGTCATCTTGATGTGGTAAACATTTGTCTGAAGTTTCATCAAAATTCTTCAAAGGGTTGAAGAGTTACAGAGCGGACAGGATTTTCAATGTTAATGTCACTGTGACCTTGACCTTGGAGCCAGCCATGCGGAACATGCGTTCTGCACGTCATCTTGATGTGGTAAACATTTGTCTGAAGTTTCATCAAAATTCTTCAAAGGGTTGAAGAGTTACAGAGCGGACACAATTTCGTTTGACGCCCGCCCATCCGCCCATCCGCCCGCCATACCCCAATCTAATAACCAGGATTTTCAAAATTGAAAACCTGGTTAATAAACAGTGAACTTTCTGAAACCAGCAAAATATAAACATTTGTCACCAGTATAACCAGGCTCTATACTGTTGACAGCTGTTTTTGTATTTTGATGCTGAAGCCCCATAAACCTTGAATGGAATGATCCAATTCAAAGCAGATCAGGGCAAGTCCATTTCACACACTCAGCAATTTCTGGGTAAAACCATTTTGTTACAACAAATATTATGGGAAGTTTACCTAGAATTTTTCTCTGTCCATGTTCAGAGACCTGTATTCTAAACTTGTCATTCACTCCTTCATTGTTGATACAAATATCTGTATGTCTCACAACACTGAAATATAATATAGATGATTACACAACAACAATACTTAACAACACTAATGTATCTACTGTCATTATTGAGAACAACAAATGAATTTCTCCGACTCAGCAGCAAATCTTAGAACCAAGTTCGATGACACAAATGAGTAAGCTGGCCACGCTCTATACTGCTATACTTGTGGCAAGGGATTTGCAGATTAATAGGAATTTTTTTTACTATATGTTTATTAAATTTTGTATATATTCAGTGTCCCCTCCCCTATGTTTTACAGCTGAATAAAGGCTGTTTCTCCAGTCCAAAATAGGAAATATAACAATTTATCCCTAAAAATGCTACATTTTCACCTGAATTGCCATGTGCACATTCTACAACAATCAATAACTTAATAGAAGCTGACTAATCAGCTAGATGATTAATTTTATTGACTGAAAGACAGAGAGCTAGCTGTCCCTAGCTAGCCTATCCTACATACCATGCTTGTTAAATTGAATTGAAATTGAAATTTGATAAAAATCAAAAATGTGTGGATAAATTCAGATTTGCTCCTGTTTCTGATTCATCATGCTGTATGTTTCCCAGGTTGTTTTGAAAACTGAAAAAAAATCTGTAATATTAAACAGCTGTAATATTAAACAGACTTACACATCGACACAGCATCTTGGTCGGACTGTACCCTCTGCATCTACCACTGTATATTTACGAGGTACTGTACATAGTACTGAAAGCAGGGAAAAAAAGCAAAACATGATTCATAAAACTTTACATTTATATATATATGCAAAAAAAAATTTACCAATGAAAAATCTTAAATATGGATAAATGTTTCCTTAACTTAAATCTTTGTATGACAACCTCAAAATTACAAGGACACTATTTTTCAGTCTTTTACTTTTTTTTCTAATAACAATAACAAAGAATATCTGAGATAATGTACCTTTAGTAAAATTGCTTATTTCAATTTGGAAATTTTGTATTCTGCTAGTAGAATGTTTAACAAACTTGCACAATTTTTGTCACATAATTTGAGCCCATTTGGAATGGTGAAGTAACAAACAAGCTCATTATCTCTATTTTTAACATGACTGAATACCTGTTATTTAGTGTGCGTATAGACCAATGTAATGAGGAACTTGTCTCTGGACCATGGGTTTGACTCCTGTTTTGTGCGATTACAATGTTTTTATCACAGGTATCACACAAGTACAAATCTTGTTATTTCAAGGTTATCAACTTGCAAGACCCTTCTACATAATCCGCAATAAATATGTTATGTTTATATTCCTACCTCAGGATACATTCAGTATGTTGTACCCATCATCAGCTGTCTAATACTAGCCGACAAAACCTACTTGTTTTAAGAGAAATACAGAGCCTGAATTAACATTTAATACTTTGCACCCTTCAACAGCTGTCTTACATGATGAGAGGGGATTGACAAACATCAGCCACATATGCCTTCTAAATGACTCACATTCTCTACATGTAAACCATGAAGCAGATTTTTTTTTAAAATTTTACCTTTAAATTTGAGTGGGAACTCGTATGGGTTGTACAGAGTAAGGACTTGCTTATGCGAGGATTGGTCATCGGAGTAGAAGCTCAGGGTAGTCGGGAATACAAACACGGGTAATTTTCCGTCCGCCAGATTCGTGCTTTGATTAAACATCAGTCACCACCGTGTGTTTCCAACTTCATGCCGTGAACACTTGCTTCAGTGATATGTTTTATTACTGACAAGTTTACAGTATGAAGTAACTAGTGGCTTTGGTGCCTGAAAGATCTGAAATAAATATTGCCATATTAAAACAGGAGTTGTGTCAGCTAAGTTACTAAGGTCCGCACCCAAGTAGAACCACCAATGTTATGTAAGCTAGCCTTACTTTCTGAGCTGGTTGAAAGAATTAAAGTCCCTGTGAGGATTCAAATCAACAGTGGTCAGGGGCATGTGGTTTGAAGTCAATGACCTTAATCAATTGGCCAAAGACACCTAGTATAATTGGGAGATTTCATTTAATTAAGGTAGTACACCCCTAATGCACTATCTCCACTTTGAAGAGTACTCAAATAGGCTAGAATCACTGTAAAGTGTATTGAAACTGAGGGGCGTGGGTTCAAACCCCAGGAGGGGCAACTTTTTTTTCTTTCTTTTTTTTTTCTTTTTAACATTTTTTATTAATCTCTCAGATCCCTAATGGAAGATAAAAGTGTTTCATTTTAATTATGTAATTTTTGTAGGTATTTGTGTACTAAATAATGCTAAATTTAATAGCAAATATGATACCAGATATTTTCAAAGTTTAATAAAATAAAAACTACACAGTAAAAGTATTTTATATTTTGCAAGACCAACCAATATACATTTGTTAAAAGTGGGTGGGGTAGGGTTACATTTTTATACATATTAAAAACATTTCGTTTAAAAACAATCATTTTGCTTGTTTAATTTGTTACCTAAATGTCATTATTTGTTTCTTAACAATGAGCAATAGGAAAACATTTTTCATATTGTATTATGATGATATTATAGATTATTTAGAGTTTCCTCATTTCTGAAAAAAGCCCTTCTAATGGCAAAGTTTTAGTTCAGAAAAATGTCCATAACTCATAAATCACATGGTAAAGTTTGTTTAAATTTGCATACAGGTGACATTTAAGGCATATAACTGTCCTATGTTGTCAATTTTACAGTTCCTTATAGTGCCCATTTAGGGGTGTACTACCTTAAATACATGACATGATTTTGATTCTTTGATATTTACTTCAAAAATATTTTTGTAAGCTCACATTTTTTCATTACCGGTAAAAATCCATGTCAAAAGTTATGGGCCTTGGACAGTGACATCAATTTATAATTCCAGAGACATGTACATGTATGAAGTTTCAAGCAAATACTTTGAGCAGATTTGAACGCAAAATTTTTTAACCAAGAATTTTTATTTAAGGGCTTAAATTACTCATTTAGCTAAAATCTAAGTCATATTAAAAGGGTTTGGATAATCAGACCTCCAATTTTGATAGAGTTAACTTTCATGTAAATGTCTTCAGTTGCTTTGAGGATTATTATTGCATGCAAAACTTGGTTCAAGAAGGGCCAAATCTGCAAACAGTTGAATTAATTTCAATTTATTTAAAAAAGATATAAAGAGTGTCACATGTTAAAGCTTAAAATCATACATAATCAATAGATCTGTATACCACATGTGATATATATAGTCCTGTAACTTTAAGGAATTAATGGCTTGTATGACAGAAGATGAACACAGTAAATTAAGTGTCTCATGCAGCATCAAGGTTTGAAGTGCATGTCTCTGACATCACAGGATTAGATATTATCACTGGTTTTATTGATTCTACAGATTTAGTGTTAGACATCTTACTATAATTCTGTTTCAATTCTACAGCTATGTCTAGTCCTATAAATATGACATCACTTTGGAGTTTGAGATATTTTTGCTTCGGGCGGCTTGACCGACATAAACTATAACAAGCCCGTACTGCCTGATATATTGGACTACAATTATATCCAACTAACCTGTATCCTAATTTAAATTTCTAACATGACACTAGACAATTTGTAGTTACTGCCAATTTACAGCTATATATTACATGGCTCGAATCATTGAGGACCCTTGAAATACCATCCCATAGCTCAACCATCTGAGCTATTTGGCTGTTTAGTCATACATCCTATATACATGTATCTGGCAGCACAAAATACCCAAATTATTATATTATTGCCCTAATATACTCTAATATTGCCCAAGTATACTAAAAATGTTTTATACTAAAAGAGTGCTGTTTTAATTATGAATTACAATATACACTTTCACTAAGACTGATCGAACATACCCAAATAATCATTTTCCTAAATATACCAAAATACAATCTACAGAATATACTCCTTTAAAGCTATATAATTTTTTTTTTAAATAATACGATGGACACTTGTATGAAATTTCAATGAAATTATACACTAAAATTGAAATGTAGACTGTGAGTGAGCAATTATTGAGCAAATATTATCATATCTTTATATTAAATTGCAAGTGTATTTATTAAGGAACCTTAGCTGTAGATAAGCAATTTATAATGATGTCACATTTTTATTTTCTTACAACATCTGAACTGCCCATTTCAACGGAATGAATGAAAGTTATAGCCAGCTAAGTCATACTTTTTTTATAAATATTAATTCATTTTCTCATTTATAATCTGCATTTTATACAAACCAATATGAATAATTATTGCTATATTTTGGTATATTTGGGTATTTCGTGCAGCCGCTATATATCCTCTCCCCTACATGTAAGTAGTGAACAGTTCTGAACCGTGACATACTCTCCTGCTATATTGAAATTTGTCCCAGAATTTCTCAGGGTTACAGAGCAATGATAATTTTAACTCTAAACTATATCCATTCACAGCCCAATGTCACAGGGTGAGAAAAATGTGCAGTCTGACTGGGACTCGAACCCAGGACCCTCAGAATACATGACCGCGGCTCTACCGACTGAGCTATCCGGCCGCTTACACAACATCTCCCCTAAATAGTGAACAGTTCTGAACCGTGACATACACCCAGAACTGCTATATTGAAATTCGTCCTCGAATTTCACAGTTACAGAGCAATGTGAATTAACTCTGAGCTATTTACAGTCATGGCCCCACATTGGGCGCCATTTTAATGTCACAGGGTGAGAAAAATGTGCAGCCTGACCGGAACTCGAACCCGGGACCCTCGGAATACTGTACCGCGGCTCTACCCAATGAGCTATCCGGCCGCTTACACATCATTTCCCCTAAATAGTGAACAGTTCTGAACCGTGACACCAATATTTGGCATCCAATGTCACAGGGTAGCTTGACTAGACTACAGTCTGACAGTGAGGACTCAAACCTGGGACCCTTGGAATACCATACTGCTGTTCTACTGAATTTTTTAGCTATCCGGATGGTGACACATTTCCCCTAAATAGTGAACAGTTCTTAACTGTGACATAATTATGCTTAAAAGTTTACTGTTTAAGAAATTTATATAAACAATAACAACAACACAGAAATATTAAAAATGTTACGTTAAAAAATATTAAAACTACAACAGACGGTCATCATAATAAACAAGATAAACAAGGCAATTAATGTGATTAACGAATGGGTAAAAATTTTACTCTAACTCTTTCTTTTACCTGCGATTTCTTTGTGTCTGATCTAAATTAGTAAATGATCAGCTGCTATTACTTATTTGTTATGTGTCAAACGTCATCAATTTTGCGTTCTAATTTGCGGATGTCCTCAGTGTTCATCCCAATACAAAAAAGAAAATGGCGGAGACCAGCAGTGAGTTACAAGTTGAAGCTTATCCGGAATTATTCCACCTAAGGTAAAGTTTTTCACAAATAAATCAACGAAGATAGGAACATTAATCGATGTGCAATTATCTAACAATTGAAAGTCATGTTGTCTACGGATAATCTGATCATAATTTAATGAAAACTTTGATTTATTTCATCTGTATCAATGGACGCTTTTTCAATGAATAAACATATTTAGGTTGAACACCACTGTTCAAAACACGGTCACACTAAAAAAAAAAATTACATGTTTCTCCGTTATAATGCCGGTGTTTTTTTCACTTTTTGGGGAAGGGGATCGGTGCCCTTTGGAGGGGGAAAATGCAATAGGAGGGGGAATTTTATTTCTTCACAAATGAGGAGAAACAAAAAGAATCCAGTGCATATGTTACAGTGTTGCAGCTAGAATTTCAAAATTATGGGGGATTGTCCCCCACTCAATTGAAAAATGTGGGGGATTTGAAAAAGATGTGGGGGCATACCTTACAATATGACATACCAAATAGAATTCATTTATTTTACATTCAGGCATTTTTGACAGCTATCGTCCGCTCAAAAACGGAAGTAGAAAAAATAAAATATTGACGAATACTACAAAACACATGCGAGATGACTTAGTCGGCTGCTACACGCACTTTAGTAAGTATTTTAGTCATAACCACGAGTAAAAACAAACATGGCTGAAGCGTTTAAGATACGATGAAGATAAACTGAATTAAGTTGAAAAGATTGTCAGATGCGCGACTTGGCGCGCACTGACTTCAATAAAATGCGCGATCTGCATAAAAAATGCGCAAATCACGCAATCGCGCGGCCTAGATGCAACACTGTGTTAATATAATATGAAATTAGGCATAGCCTATGAACGGGGAAGTTGTTAAAAAATCCTTTCATTCTTTCCGTTTTAAAGGTGTCATTCGATATTACATACACCGCTTCCGTTTTCACTCGGAACACTCAACGATTATTACTAATCCGAAAAGTTGAGATTTGTTCAGTTATCGGAATACCCCGCCTATTATCATTGACATACATTGTAAATGGCGGCGCCCGACTAGAACTGACACTGAAAATTTTATTGATAGGTATAGAATTCTATATATTTTTTAAATGTTTTTTATTTGATTTTCTTTTAAATATTCACGTGTAGTCTACAGCCGGGCAAGCCAAAGCCCCGTATAAACAGATCTAAAATATTGACCGCAGAATTAAAAGCATTGCATGCTTTTTTAAACTTGTTGGGACACCAGTAGTAGCTCCCCCTACCTACCTGGGAACAATTTGTAAACAACTTTGCTTAACAGTAAGTCTTACAGGCATAAAATAAAACATTTTTCAGCAGTAAGATCAGGGCTCTCAGTAGGGTCAGAATTTCACGAGTCAAAGACTCTTTGGCTAAAATTTTCATGAGTCAAATAATTTTTTTCTAGTGTCATTTGACTACATGAATCATTTTTATGTTACAAAAATAACTGTATTGGAGGTCATTTTTGGAGATTCCAAAGTCTAAATAGACAGAAAAAAATGCCTAATTATAAATGTCTATACCCCCACCACCTAAAAAAGAAAACAAAAAACAAATAAAACAAAAACATGAATTGCTGTGAAAGAATAAAATAAGCAGCAGCTTTATTAAATGTATAAAATATAAAAAAAAATATCTTTACTGGTATGCTATATCATATTAATTCTAAATACCAAAATGTACCAGGTATATTTATAACAAATGCACAGGTACTCCAAGTAAATCAAAGACGTATTATAAACCTTTAAAAGCAATCAATAATTGACACCTCAAGTATGTAATTCTTATCAGTTGTGTAGAGCTATTTTTAGCGCTGTCAAATTGCAGCCACTGAATTGTCGCGCTTCAGTGCACAGGGTATAAACAATTGCCGTCTGTAAAGCATTTTATACACGACTTATACTGCCTGTTGACATTTTTTATGAGTGTGATTTGAACACATGTAGGATTTGATAATTAGGGGTGGATTTAAGGTAATTATTATTGCAATTATTATTGCATAGCTGAAAATCCCATGCGGCAAATTGACTCTTGAGCAGATTTTATCACCTGTCAAATATGTGCATTTCCCGATTTTCACGAGTCAAAACCCGGATTCCCGTGTCAATCGAGAGCCCTGAAGATGCAAAAAAAAAATGATATTCATTGCAAGCAAATTAGGGCTGCCGTATGCGGGGAAATTTCGGCTTTGAGGGGGGAAAAAAACATACTATTTTGAGGGGGAAATGGGCCCGAATTTCGCCAAATATTTTGGTGAAAAAAAAACTCTGAGTGCTATCCTCAGTAATAATAATATGAAGAAGGCAAAGCCTCAAAGCGATATCTTTGACAGACATAATCACATTATAGAACATTTTAATTTAAACCCATCGGCGGTTACACATTTCATGTTTATAATACACTTTCAGCAGAACAATTCACTCAACACAATCTCACACTATTGACGAATTTGAAAACCTAGCTAAATGCTGTTTTCCGGTACATTCTGTACACAGCTCTGGGGAATTCACTTAAGGGGCGTGTAGTAACTATCTGTATGTTTTTTACACTTTTTGGATTAAAGTGTAATAAAATAATTATTTCTTTGAAAGAAAATAATTAAATATGACTGTATGAATAATACAATGCAAAAAATAAAGTAAATACATAAGTTTATACAGAAAATATCGTTGTTCATTATGGCAGATGTAACAATAACTGTTTTAATTTTACAGATTTTTAATATGAATAACTTTTTTTTTGAAAATGTGCCATAGATGACTTAGATAGTACAGGAACATTGATAATTTTCAAACACATCAAATTCAGTGATCAAGTTTTTCCATCATAAACGTTAAAATAATCATAAAAAAATGTAAAATTTGAAAATATAACATATTTGTGCTATGTACTTCATTGGGTGTAATTCCCAAGAGCTAAATCAGTAATTTACCGGGAAACACTGTGTTTAGCTAGGTTTTTCGAAAAGGTATACTGCCATTTCATGTGTAATATGATCTTTTTCAGTTTGAAAAAAGCCATTCGGTATTTTATACACTGCTTCCGTTTATTCTGGTTCCCTGTCCTATAATGGTCCCATAGACGAGCGCAGGAGACCAGTCTACGCATCCGTTTTCAGTTAGAATTCCTCGACTTTTATCTTGTAATTTTAAAAGTTGCAATTAATCAATTACTCATAATTTAGTAGTACTTCTTGTGAAAGTTTTTCAAAACCATAACTATCTAGCAGGTACTCTTGTTACCTTAAAGCCTGCTTTAAACAAGTAAAATATGACAGCAAGAGTCCATAATTTTGTTGAAGATATCTCATATTGTTCTGTATTTCAGTCATAAAAGAAGAAAAGCTTTGTTAAAGAAACAGAAAAGAAAAATCAAGAGACAAGCAGAAGCTAGAGAAAGAGATGAAAAACTGCAGAAAGGTATTAATTAAAGAGTTTATGATATGAAATTAGGCAAAGCCTATGAATGGGGAAGTATGTTAAAAAATCATTCATTTTTGTGTCGCCTCTACGGAGTAGTGGCGACAAATAGGGATCACTTCTCCGTCGTCTGTCTGTCCATCTGTCTGTCCGTCCGTCTGTCTGTCCGTCCGTCCGTCACAAAACTTGTCCGGACTACTCCTCATAAACTACTGGTGCAATTTCATCGAAACTTTACAGGAATGATCAGTACCAAGTCTAGTTGTGCATATTGTCAGCATTTTCCGGTTCAATGATTTTTGTCATGAGTTATGGCCCTTTAATAATTTTTATTTTTAAAGTTTGTCCGGACTACTTCTCTTATACCACTAATGCAATTTCAATGAAACTTTACAGGATTGATCTGTAGCTCAAGTCCTTGTGCATATTGCACGGGTTTTCCGGTTGAATGATTTTTGGCCGAGTTATGGCCCTTTGATAAAAAGGTGTTTTTTTCTTTGTGTTGCCAGATACACAAAAGCTTGTCCCCACTACTCCTCATAAACTACTGGTGCAATTTCATCCAAACTTTACAGAAATGATCAGTACCAAGTCTATTTGTGCACTGTCCGTCTGTCTGTCCGTCTGTCACAAAACTTGTCCCAACATGAAATTGGCCATTATGAGGCGACACATGTGATCACTGATCGCTCTTGTTCTGTTTTAAAGGTGTCATTTTGGTATTTCATGCACTGCTTTTGTTTTCACTTGGAACACTTGACAATTATTGGTTTAAACATATTTATTTTAGCTCAATTGCAAAACAAGTTCTTGCAACTTATATAAATCACTTTAGAGTCCTCTTCCTGGAAGTTCCAGGGCTTCCATTAAGTTTCAAAATTTGGAAGTTAGAGACTGCACAATGTCTGACAATGGAAGTCACATTTTATAGGTACATTTGTAAAGAAGGAAAAGTATAAGATTTTTGGAAGTCACAAGCCAAATTCAAGGAGTAAATGGCTCCCAAGCTTCCATTTACGTAAGCCCGGTGTAACCAACCAGTACTGGTGTCATATGAAGAAACATTGTTGTGACCCAAGTAGGGCTCGAACCCATGATCTCTTGGTTGAGAGGCAGACACCTTAACCACTAATATTAATAATCTGAAAGGTTGTGATTGTTCCGTTATTGGAATACCCGCCCATTATCATTTAGTTACATTGAAAATGGTGGCGCCCAGCTAGAACGGACACTGGAATTTTCATTACAGAATTTTATATGTTCTTTTAAATAATTGTTTTTTTCTTGATTTCCCTTTAAATATACACATGTAGTCTATAGCCATGCAAGTCAAGGCCAACTACGCAGTCTCAGCCTTTGACTTTCTCTTATTATAATGATGACATTTTTTTAATGTCAAATATACATGTAATTACATTAAATTGTCAGGAAAACTTATTAGCCTCAAAAATTGTTGTGTTATAGTTAGACTAATAGTTAAAAGTTAATCTTCTGTCATCTGGAGGGTGGGAAAGGGTGTTAATGGAGTATGGACATAACTGACGACAACTAAACTAATCTTATTAATATCAAGGGCAGTGCAATAAGTTCAAAGTAAGTGTTTCTTTTAAAAAAATCTAACATAATAATCAGGGCTTTCATTAGGTTTCAACATTTGGAAGTCAGAGACTGCAAATTGTCTTACATTGGAAGTCTCTTTATATAGATTAATTAGGAAAAGCATATATTATATTTTTGAAGTTACAAGCCAAAATCAAGAAGTAAATGACTCAAAAACTTCCATTAATGTAAGCCCTGAATAAATCAACACCTATTCAATTATACCAGAAAAAGAGCTGAAAAAGAATTCACCAACCTTCCAACAGAAACAAGCATATGAGGAAGAGCTTGAAAAGGCAGAGCTTTTACGAATAGAGGCGGAGTCACAGAGACAAAGGGAATTGTGGGAGTGGCATGAGGAAATATATAAGCAAAGATTGAAAGAGAAGGAGGAGCAAGCAGAACGTGAAAAACAATTAAAAATTGAAATAGAGGTAGTTAAATGGACATGTTTCTTAATGTTTTGTTATGACTGTTTATTAAAAAGATAACAGAGATAAATTTGAGGACATCCAGTACTTCTTAATTGAATGTGACATTTTATTTGATGTAGATTTAGACCAATAATTAGTGTGAAGAATATCAGATCGTATGCTCATACCATTTTTCCAGAATAATTCTTCTAATTGTGAAAAATGACCCAAAGTTGAAATGCATTGCTCGAATGAGCTCATAAAAATATGATTTTCATTTTAACTATCTTTTATTTATATTTCTGTATTCAAGTGACCAAGCTGATCTATATAAGAAAGTAGAATTTTATTTTTGTAGGCTTTTTTACCTCAGTGGAGTTCCTTTAAAGGTTAATTGACGTTTCCTTTGCAAAGGTTAATTACCTTCTGTGTATTTGGTGTATTTAAGCTACTTAAATTTCTTTGATTTGTTGATAAATTTGTTTTAAATTTTTCGCTTTTTATTGCTGATTTTTTAGAGAAAGATAAAAGAAGAATGGGAGGAAAGACAGAAGAAAGAACATGAAGAGGAAGAAGAGAAAAGAAAGAAGAAGGAAAAACAGGTGATCCATTTAAAGAGATGGGTCAGGATAACATATCCTAATTTTTTATTTTTTTACATGTTACAAAAACAGTACATGTACAAGAATAGCAACCAAGTTAGTACGGAAACTGATATTCTAAGTTTATGAACATATTTAAAGCCCATTATGCCTCAGAAATGCTGTCATTTTTATTTCGCAAAAACTTTAAATTTTCCGGTATCTTGTAATAGTCTCCAATAAATACTTATTTGCCAATAGATGAACCATCTTTCCCTCTTTTTGCTTCGTTGGCAATTCATATTATAATGATAGTGAATTAGTATTTTGTATGGAAGTTAAAATACTACTTTGCTACTTTACAACACATGTTCTTCAGCTGTTAAATCTTAAACATCTAACATACTCTAAATCCATTATAAAAAAACAATATTTAACACATATTTGACATTTCTAAAGAATTTCTGAGGCATAATGTGCCTTTAATTATCTACATGTCACAGAGATGAAACATGGAAATTAGGCATAGAATTTATTGATGAATAATGATGTACCGGTAAGCATTATAATGCAAAAAATATGTTTTCAAACTGTACTTGTTAGGAAAATAATCATAAAGCACTAGGAGGGCTATGTGACAAGATGTCTTGTGGTTATTTAGGGTTTTTTCTTGCATATCAGACAGGAATATCTACCGTTTACACCGATCGGTACAGACGAGAAGATCTAGCTCTCAGGTAACTGTTAAGCAGAAACTTGGCAGAGCCTCGTTACTGCAGTAAACAGTTACCTCGAGCTGGATATTCCGGTCTGTACCGGCAACCAGTGTATTAAGATTCTTACAGTATTTTTGCTTATAGTTAAACAGGTTTACATGATTTTCTGTTTTAAAGCAGCATATCTCCAGATTTATGCTTAATTCCATGAAAAATTTTAAAATGTATTAAATAAAAGAGTATAATACTTAAAAGTGAACATTGAAAGTAATTTATACATTGCAAATGGCACTGGCAATCCACATAAATTATGAAATACATGTAGATGTCATACTGCATAAGTTATGCTGTAGAAAAATGGGGATAAATACTGAAAATTAGTTATTCATTGCATGTAAATTATTACTTGAATTATTGTAATTTATATATAGTTAGTTTTACTTTTCTTACAGTCTTAATACATTTTTCATAAGGTTGATTTTCTTGAAATGTTTTGGCTTATCTGGAGGCATGCAGCTTTAATGTTCTAACAAATATACAGCAGTTATATGGTAATGAAGCCAATACTTGTCTCTTGTAACTAGTGTGTCTGTAACAGTCAAGTACTTTTGATAAAAAGCTTTATCATTACAAATAGACATATATAATTATGTGGTTTCTTTATACATGTATTTGAAGAAATATTTATCAATGTATGAAAGTGTAAGGCTGAATAAGTCATTGAAATGTTTCCTTAACTGTTCACACAATATGGCTTCAGGGAAGTTTGAGATATTCAACGACTCACTGTATCTTTTAATGTATGATATAACAGATTCATTACAATTTTATTTTAGCTATGAGTTAATTTTTGAGCTAAGAAAATGGTCATAGACTAATGTAAAAGCTCGGTATGATTATTGTTATCTCCTAACCTGGAGAATTTTTCTGTACTGGATTTGCACTACCTTGAATATGAACCAGTCTCCATTATGAGTTGTACTTCTCCTTATCCTTCTATTTTGATAACAGTCTATTCAAAGTTAAAAGGGAGTTCAATTTTCAAAATATGAAAAAAGCAATCTACCAGCAGTATAGAGCCTATTCTGGCTGCATAGATGTACAGGCTGGCCTGGGCTGTATACTGGTGGCAAGGGCTAATATAATCACTTAAGGGTATTTATACAGCGAAGGTTGGAAATTTTATCTTACATCTTTGGCGATTGACATTTTAATGAATGCACTGTACAATTGGTCATTTGTGGAGAGATTGGTACATACTGGTTTGTTATCCAGGAAAGACTCAAATGTGGACCTACAACCAAGATATGACCAAAAATGTGTTGAAAATTGCATTAAAAAAGAACAGGCAAACAAACATAATTAAATATACAGTCATGGTCTTGAGTGGGGTTTATATTGGGTTATTATAATCTATGATATTTTTTTTTCTTGCAAATTATCATATTATGATTTTGTATTGATTTGTGTTGTGAAGAGTAGGTGTGTAAAAGGTATTACCTCAACAGGCATGACACAATAACACATGTTAACTTCTTGTGTGTGTGCAAATGTTAAAGATTATTAACTGTAGCAGGAAAATGATTTAATATCTTAACAGTATATTCAGGGTCAGATTTTGTTTGTTTTCAACATGTAGGAGGAACTTCTGAAGCAGGCTAGAGAAGCTGAAAATAAGGTTGGTACTTTTATGTTATTCTCAGTGTATCAATTTATTGAAGTAATTGAGCCGCATCATAACAAAACCAACATAGTGTGTTTGCAACCAGCATTGATCCAGACCAGCCTGCGCATCTGCGCAGTCTGATCTGGATCCATGCTGTTCGCTTACAAACCCTATTACAAGTAGAGAAACTGAAAGCGAACAGCATGGATCCTGATTAGACTGCACGGATGGTCCAGCTAACATATGGAACATTGATGGTTCTACTCCAGTGCCTGTTCATGCCTGAAATTATGCACGGAAGGGCACCTGAGGTCTTACTCCATTAGTAAAGCTGGAACGTCACCATATGACCTTCACTGTGTCAGTGTGACTTAAAAACCAATCAAACAAACAAACTACCAAAGTACCTGGGATTGAATTTTATCTCATCATAGAACTTATATGATTTTATATAGGTTCATAAAGGGAAAACGTAAAAAAATATATTCTCCTTTCAAGTCATAATGTTCATAGTGTTAAGATATTTTATGTAATGTCTATTTAAAGATATACTATACTATTTCATTGGGTAAAGTACTTTTTTGCAGAAATTCTTTGAAAATCTTGTAAATCCTTCCTGAATATGTTTAATTTGAATAAGTGAATGTATAAATTATGTTTGGGAAGCTGCATTCCTTATTATTTGTCAAATTAATTTGATCTATTCCTATAAAAAGTGACAATTGTTTTAATGACACTATGTAATCATACTGTGATTACCTGTAGTGTGTAGAGTTTAAAACGTAACATATTTTCTCTGTGTGTATTCAAATGATGTTTATTTTACATTTCAAATGAGACTGTAGTTGTTTGTTTTGTTTTTTTTCAAATATCAAGTTTGAGCATAATATATCTTAAACTGTATTTAAATTGCTGGTAAGAGATAGATTTTTCAGGTGAGTAATTGGGGTAGGGCTATCATGTCTCTTATTTGCTACAGACATATAATTTATGAGCCGTGTCGTGACAAAACCAACATAATGGGTTTGCGGCCAGCATGGATCCAGACCAATCTGCGCAGTCTGATCAGAATCCATGCTGTTCGCTTACAAACCCTATAACAAGTAGAAAAGCTGATAGCGAACAGCATGGATCCTGATCAGACTGCGCGGATGCGCAGGCTGGTCTGGATCCATGCTGGTCGCAAAGGCACTATTTTGGTTTTGTTATGACGCGGCTCATATATATTTTATAATTTTGAAAAAGTCCATCTAAACAATTATCATAAACTTGGACTGTGTTACATCATTTATTGATTTTTTTGAAACAATTTGTAGGATGGTGATTGGTCAAATCCACTTGCCCCAGTGCAGTATGGGAAAGAGAGGCAGGTAGAAAATTGTCCGTTCTTTGTGAAAGTTGGAGCTTGCAGATTTGGAGATAGGTATTATATAAAAAAATTTCATACTAAATGTTAACATATTATTTGAATGTAGAAGTTAATTCTCCATTATAGTAGGCAAAACTAATGTCGAATAATTCTAGTGGTTAGTATTGAGATTGATGTGAACTTTTTCATCAGATAAGAAGTAGAACTGCAGGCCATAGTGCTTTTTTGTGATGTTTTATCAATTGCAAACTTACTAATAGTAACTGAAAATTTTATTTGCTCAGTTCTATGTATTTAAATCCTCAAAACTTTTCAAAGCTTTTAATTGAGACTTTGAAATATTTCATGTTAGACAGCTATTCAGCTAGTTAACTTTGATGCTGGCTCATTCCTTGAAATTTAGAAAGTTACAATATGCACAGACTTCCACATCCTCCTCAAAGGGATTTTGCTTGTATGTATTTGAATATGCATAAAGCAGAGATCATTCATATGGGTAATTTCCACAATTTTTTAACGAGAGAAAATCTCGTGCTTCAAAATCCACATCCCTTTAGGTCCTTGTGATACATGATATCAGCGGCAACAGTGTTCACTGTAAAATCAATGTTTCATGCATGTCAAGATTGAAGCATCAATTTAAGCCATTCAGGTTGCTAGTTTGCTGGAGAGTTCATGTGTTGAGTTCAAATTGTGTAACAATCCATAAAGGATAATCGAGGAGAGATTTGTACATTGTATTATGTTTTCTCTGAAATAAACTTATTTATGCTAACCAATTTTAATTGCTGTTTGGGCAGAGCTGTGTTAAATGTCTACATTTTTAACCCCTAACTTCTCAGTAAAGTTTTAAGTTATCAGTTGTAGGTAATTGTGCAAAAACAATAGCTCTAGCATAATTATGTTGTGTCTGAAAATCCTAGAGATAAGAATTTGTATGCACAACTTCTGTTTCCATAAGCATGGAAGATACAAGCTTAAAACTTCAGACATGTCTTTGATGTAATAGTCATTGTAGGATGCTCACTGAGACCTTTAACTCTAGCATTGTTTTTGTTGTTGTTGTCTTTTTTAGACGAATTATTCCCCTTGTGTACTTTGCGAATGTCCTGCATTATCCAGATTCTTCTGTTACTGTCATGCTCTGTGTTAAGTTAAAGCACCACTCAACTGGCAGTTATCTAGACAGCAAAGTATGAAACATCTATGCAGAGACATCCTTAACAAAAAATTAATACCATGAATTATTTTTTTTATGCCCCCACAATGTGGGAGCATATAGCGTTGCACTTGTCCGTCCGTCAGTCTGTCAGTCCGTCCGTCCGTCCGTACGTCCCGAAATCTTGTGAACGCAACTCCTCTTAAACTGGATGTCAGATTTTGCTTAAACTTACAGGGATGAACAACCTTAATGTGTAGATGGTAGTAAAGGAAGGAATTTTTGCTGCGACCAAATTTAACAGAATTATGGCCCTTTGTTGATTTTTTCACTAGCTACTATGTAGAAATTTTGTGAACGCAACTCCTCTTAAAACCGGATGTCAGATTTTGCTTAAACTTACAGGGATGAACAACCTTAATGTGTAGATGGTAGTAAAGGAAGGAATTTTTGCTGCGACCAAATTTAACAGAATTATGGCCCTTTGTTGATTTTTTCACTAGCTACTATGTAGAAATTTTGTGAACGCAAACTCCTCTTAAACCGGATGGCAGATTTTGCTCTAACTTACAGGGATGAACAACCTTAATGTGTAGATGGTAGTAAAGGAAGGAATTTTTGCTGCGACCAAATTTAACAGAATTATGGCCCTTTGTTGATTTTTTCACTAGCTACTATGTAGAAATTTTGTGAACGCAACTCCTCTTAAACCGGATGGCAGATTTTGCTCTAACTTACAGGGATGAACAACCTTAATGTGTAGATGGTAGTAAAGGAAGGAATTTTTGCTGCGACCAAATTTAAAAGAATTATGGCCCTTTGTTGATTTTTTCACTATATACTATGTAGAAATTTTGTGAATGCAACTCCTCTTAAACCGGATGGCAGATTTTGCTTAAACTTCCAGGGATGAACAACCTTAATGTGTTGATGGCAGTAAAGGAAGGAATTTTTGCTGCAACCAAATTTAACAGAATTATGGCCCTTTGTTGATTTTTTCATTAATTACTATGTAGAAATTTTGTGAACACAACTCCTCTTAAACCGGATCGCAGATTTTGCTTAAACTTCCAGGGATTAACAACCTTAATGTGTAGATGGTAGTAAAGGAAGGAATTTTTGCTGCAAACAAATTTAACAGAATTATGGCTCTTTGTTAATTTTTAGTTTCAACTTGTGGCACATGTAGTCCAAAAAATATTTGACCTAGAGTCATAAGATTGACAGACCAGTGGCGTGTGGGGGCATCAGTGTCCTATGGACACATTTCTAGTTATACCATAAAAGCTTGAAACTTATCAACTTATCAGTTTAATTGAAATTAACTATTATGGTATTTAAATGAATGATTATTTACTTTCAGGTGTTCAAGAGCTCACCCATACCCGGACAGCAGCCGTACATTGTTATTCTCAAACATGTTCCGGCATTTCCAGCTTGATCAAGGTCAATGTGAGGAATATGACACAGGTATGTAATATGCTGTTAAAGGAAATCACAGGAACTTGATATTACAAAATATATGCTTTTTAAAGATATAGTCAGACCTTTTCTCTTTTTTATAGAGATAAAGGTTTTATCTTTGATATATGTAAATTTTGTGATTTAAGTGTGTGCGTTTTTTGTTTTTCATGTTCCTGAAGGGTGAGTATATAGTCATTGCTTTGTCTGTCTGTCCACACTACTGAATAGGGATAGGGGGCCATCTAACTGTAAACAGAACAAAAGAGAACAATAGAGTTCATTCCGTAACAATAGAGTAAGGGGCCATTTGCCGTCTTTTAAACAATAGAAAATAATAAAAGAAATGGCCCCATATTCCTTTACGGGCAGACATCTGTCCGTCTGCCTGCCTTTCTTGTCCGGGACATCACTCTGTAACATCAAGAGGTATCAACATGAAACTTTGCAGGTAGATAGATCTTATTAGGTAGATGTGCAATGTTCAAAAGTCGTAACTCTGCCTTGCCTAATTTTGGAGTTTCTGCTCTTTGTTCATTTATTTACTTTGAACTTTTTCCAGGACATAATTCTGAAACTAGAAGAGATATCAACATAAAACTTTGTAGGTAGATAGATCTTATTAGGTAGATGTGCAATGCTCAAAAGTCGTAACTCTGCCTTGCCTAATTTTGGAGTTTCTGCTCTTTGTTCATTTTTTTACTTTGAACTTTTTCCAGGACATAATTCTGAAACTAGAAGAGATATCAACATAAAACTTTGTAGGTAGATAGATCTTTTATTTCGGAGTAATTGCCCTTTGTCCATTTTTACACTTTGAACATTGTCTGGGACATAGTTCTGAAAGTATAATAGATATGAACAAGACACTTTGTAGGTAGATAGATCTCATTGGGTAGAAGTGCAGTGCACAAGAACTGTAACTCTGCCTTACCTAATTTTGGAGTTATTCCTCTTTGTTCATATTTACTAAATTTATTGAACTCATGTATCATGTTGTGTTATAAAACACTGCTCCTCAGAAGTGCACATTATGTAATTTTATACAACTTATTCAATAAATTCAGTATTGAACCTTCACTCATTTATTATGTGTATATATCATACAGATATAGTGCTGGAGTATGAAGATAGCGAGGTTTACCAAAAGTTTCGTGAGTTTTATGAGGACACCCTGCCAGAGTTCAAGGTCATTGGGCACATGGTTCAGTTCAAAGTATGCTGTAATTTTCAACCTCACCTTAGAGGAAATGTTTATGTGTCTTATTCCAGGTTTGTGATTTTTTTACAGATTTGTATTATAAAAAAGAAAAATGAGAGAAATTTGTATCAATGTTTTTAACCTTTTATGGTTTATAAGGTTTTAATGTCAATGTGTCTACTTCAGAAGTTTGATATAAGGATTCAGAAAAGAATTCCAAATATTTGATAATGAAGTTAATTAAATATTCCATTAACATGGCACTAGAGGAATTTTGCTTACAGCCAAAATCCCTGTACGGGTAATTGACAGCAGTTCTTTGTCAAATTATGAAAGTTTAAAAAATGTTCAGTTGATTCAACATAATTTTCACTAATTGCCTAGCACTAGATGGTTCCAGGAACTGTGCTTCTATTAAATAAAAAGTTACCAACACTATTTAACTTAAACAAATTCATTTAAACTAAGATTCTTCACCACTGTGGGTTCTTATCCAGCAAGGGAGTTTAGATTCTTTCCAGCTAGTTTAAGGAACTTCAATGGTTCTACTCAGGTGCCCGACTCTTACTGAAATAATGCACGGAGGGATACTCGAGGTATGCCTCCACCAGTAAAGCTGGAGAGTTACTATATGACCTATACAGTCTTGGTGCAATGTAATTTAAACTATTTTCAAAGTTTCATTTATATACATGTATTTAGGAAAAAATTTTGTCTAACAGCATCTTTGTAGCAAGTTAAAAATGAAGGCAATTATATACCATATCACACATGTTTCATATTTTTTGACTACTACAAAATTTCATCTGGCAAAAACTGAGCCAGGGACGTCTGTGGCCCAGTGGTTAAGGTTGTTGACTTCCAACCATTTGCCCCTCACCGCTGTTGTTTCGAATCCCAACAGGGACTTTGGATTCTTTCATGTGAGGAAGCTATCCAACTAGCTTACGGAACGTCGGTGGTTCTACTCAGGTGCCAGTTCGTGCCTGAAATAATGCATGGAAGTGCACCTGAGGTCATCCTCCACCAGTAAAGCTGGAAGACGCCATATGACCTATACTGTGTCGGTGCGATGTAAAACCCAATCAAACAAACAAACAAACAAAACTGAGCCAAACATGCATTTTAAGCTTGACTTTTCAAAGAATAGGGAGAGCTTTTATACTCATCCTGCCATCAACTTTGCCATCACACCTTGGTTAAGTTTTAGACTGCAATTTGATATATCTAAAATTACCGGAGGTAATGAGTTGAAACTTTACACACCGAGTAACCTTTTTACAGAATTATGCCCCTTCTGTTTTTGTCATGTGCTAAGAATAGTCTTATGGACAGCTCTTGTTTAGAGTATACAACTCAATATTTTGTTTGTAATGATTTATATACATGCAGGCCTCGACATTAGCGGTGGTCTATTGGTCCGAGACCACCTGATTTTGGCAAGGACCACCTAATTTTACTGGCAACTGGTCCGTTAGACCACTTGAATTTTCCAAATGGTGCAGGGCTCATCTAGGAGAATGGTTATTTGGTCGAAAAACGTGTTCTATAATTGTTGTTTAAAACCATTTCTCCGATGTACTGGTATATGTTCATTCATCTCATGAGTTCAAAATGATCTTAAGACATCCATAACCTTTTATTTACTCGCTAACAGTGTAGTTAAAAAAGTAGAAAATTATTTTAAAAATTAAAGTATAAAATTCATTTAAATGTCCCTAGTACTGCATTGAATTTATAACATTGTATCACTATGGGATATTGGATAAACACATGAATAATGGTGCAAACAAAGGCAAAGGAAAAATTAAATATCTAGTAATCTTTGGCTACTTTTTTAAACAATCAGAGATCCATTTTTTTCTTATTTAAAGTACTTTAAAAGGTTATAAATACTTTGTCAAAAATAAATAAATTTCAACAAACAAGCATGTATAATAAATCTGTGAGGAAGATAAGCTCAATTATAATGTAGGAAATTTTCTGTTCATCATTAATATGTCATTGTTTTAAAGACAAGAATATAAGAACTTAATAGTTTAATTAAAAATGTTAATCTATAAAAAGCAATTATTATTCTTATAAGATGTACCAGGAAACAGCAATGAGTATTTGAATAACAGTAAGGAAATAAGTCATTCACAAATGGTTTCACTATTCCCTAACTTGAGTTGCGGAAGAAGTCACTTAACCGAAGTACATTGTATGAGTACTGTCATGTATTTTTCAATGAGATAATAAATACTAAATAGGATTACAATGACTTACTATCTGATCTAAGATTGAAGTAGAAAATATACATGTTTTCTTCAGTTGTTATAAATCTAATAATAAATATGTCTCTGTCACCAACTTTAAGTGTAGTTCTTCTAAATCTTAAAAACAAATGAGTAAAAAAAAAGATGGACCACCTGTGTTCAGAAAGGACCACCTGAATTTTGGATCCAGTGGTCCAGCATACCACCTGCTGAAAAAGTTAGTGTCGAGACCTGTACATGTGTTTGTCTTGATTTATTATTTTGAAAACTTCATATCCTTTTTAATATAAACATCATGTATGTTGGCATTTTTGCGGAAGTTTTGGAAATTGAATAAAAAAGACATTTTAACTGCCTTTTGTGACCTTTGAACATATTCATGGTTCACTTTAGGGAAGACCATGCACTGGAAGCACTTAAAATTCAAAGCTAGTGGTTGGGGGAAAAAAAAATATCTGCCGGGGTTTGGAAATACCA